TTATTATTCTCCCTCTGATTTGAGATCAAAAATGGCTGTGTTTAAAGCTCTGTATTTACAATAAACCAGGAGTAAGCCCCCAGAGCTGCTGTGGGCTGGCTCTGCTCGATGTAGGGCACCAGATCCAAGGCTTTGCCCCGGTGAGTGGGTTCTGACACACGTGGAATGAAGTGGGAAATGCTGCACAGGCAGAGCTGCAGCCAGTGGTTATTCACCCTGGGAATTAGCACCCTGGGAAATTAGAAAGCTAAAGGAACCTCCTGGAAGAGGGGCATCTTTTGGAGGATGGGTTGCAGCAGGACCAGGGCAGTGCCTTGTGTGGGGCACTGGTGAGGCCACACCTCAGATCCTGGGGGTAGTTTTGGCCCCTCACGACACTGAGGGGCTGGAGCGTGTGCAGGGAAGGGAACAGAGCTGGGGAAGGGGCTGGAGCAGCAGGAGCAGCTGAGGGAGCTGGGGGGGCTCAGCCTGGAGAAAAGGAGGCTCAGGGGAGACCTTCTGGCTCTGCAACCCCCTGACAGGAGGGGGGAGCCGGGGGGGGGTCGGGCTCTGCTGCCAGGGAACAAGGGACAGGAGGAGAGGGAACGGCCTCCAGCTGTGCCAGGGGAGGTTTAGGTTGGATGTTGGGGAAAGTTTCTGCATGGAAAGGGTGGTCAGGCCCTGGCACAGCTGCCCAGGGAGGTGGTGGGGTCCTCATCCCTGGAGGGATTTAAAAGCCATGTGGATGTGGCACTTGGGGAGCATCCAAAGGAGAGCAGTGAAGATGGGGAAGGGCCTTGATTTGAAGGTGTGTGAGGACACTGAGGGCACTTGGTGTGTTCAGCTGGAGGAGACTGAGGGGAGACCTCAGTGCAGTTCCACCTTCCTGGGCAGGGGCAGAGGAGGGGCAGGGACTGAGCTCTGCTCTGGGGGGACCAGGGACAGCACCCAGGGAATGGCTGGAGCTGTGTCAGGGCAGGCTCAGGGTGGATCTCAGGCAAAGGTTCTTCCCCCAGAGGCTGGTTGGGCACTGCCCAGGCTCCCCAGGGCAGTGGGCACAGCCCCAAGGCTGCCAGAGCTCAGGGAGGGTTTGGCTGATCCTCTGGGGCACAGGGGGGGACTCTTGGGGCTGGGCCTGTGCAGGGCTGAGGGTTGGACTCCAGGATCCTTGGGGGTCCCTCCCAGCTCAGCACATTCTGGGATTCTGTGATTCTGTGACGTGGGTCAGTGGTGGCCTTGGCAGTGCTGGGGGACCTGTTGGGCTTGATGGTCTCAGAGGGCTTTTCCCACTCAAATGCTGCTGTGGTTCTGCAATCAGCATCCTCTTCTCCATCCTCTTCTCCACCCGTCTGGTGTTACAGAGATGCTTATGATCTGAAAATTCAGGGAAAAACTCATCATTGGTAACCAAATCCTGTTTGGATTATGCCAGGAATTTGGAGGAAAAGTGCTGGAGAGCTTCAGGGTGTTGCAGGCTTGGATGAAGCTTTCTGAGCAGATCCTGCTAGAAGGAATTTCCTGTCCTAGTAGAGCAAAGTCCCCCAAACAGCCATTTGCTTCTGCCACTGGCCAACATTATCACAAAAAATATTATTTCCATGCTGGAAAGCTGCTTATCAAAACTTTTCCCAAACCTGATTATTTCCTGATTCCCTGGAAAGGATTTAAGGAAAGATCATGCTTATAAATTCATTTGCATTTTCTCCCCCTGCTGCTTTCACGGTAAAAAACTCAAACCTCACATAAAATATCTGCTTTTTTCTCAATCTTCAGTTACAAATCACTGGATTTCATGTGCTTTCCCACTTCTCTTGTTCAAATATGGATTGTGCCATGCATAGAAATGCGGGATTATTTCAGGCTCAATAAAGAAGTGAATATAAAGCTCTTAGTTTTTCGAGGTATTTCTGTCTCTGGGCTGAATTCAGGGGGAAACCACTGGCAGCAAAAGCCACATTCCCCATCCAGAAGAATAGTTTGGACCTTAGTGAACCTTTCCAGAAGTCAGAATAAACATGCTGTAAATACTTCTCCCCATTTTACTGCACATCCCATGTCTCCCTTGTGCCAGTTGCTTGACATAAAATTCCCGAAATAAAACCAGCTGCTGCAGGAATTACGTGCAATACTTTCACTGAGGAGAGAGGACACGTGGAATATTCTTTTCCTGACTGTGAAACGGAAACCAAATTTAGAAAATGAAGCGCTTTTTTTCCCATTTAAGAAGAAGGAAGGCACAGCCCGTGCTGGCCGGAGGCAGGGCCCTCGTGGTGTGAGTTCTGCATGTTTGCACCGAGTTGGCTGCAAAATTCCTTGGAAGAAAGCACCGAAACTTTCTCCTTGTGGGAATGTTTTCCTTGGTTTCACGCAGCTGATGGAAAACTGTGCCCATAATAGATTACTTGCCTCAAAAGAAAACGTTGGATGGAACTTTTATGGTGCCCTAAACTCTTGGGGGGTAACTCCACAGCTCGGGGGACCTGGGAATTTCTTGGTGCTTCTTCCCTGTGGAGGTGGGGCTGGATCCACCTGCCTCCACAGGCTGTGTCCCTTCCCTTCCAAGTGTCAAACCATTCCCAGCAGCTCTAAGTCTAACAAAATACCCCCTTTCTGTGTAACAGCCCCAAAACACCCACGTGGATGTGGATTATTTGGATCCAGCTGGGTGAGGAGTTCCTGGAGTGGACCAAGGGCCGAGGTGTTTGATGCTGAAGGTGTCCCTCGGTGTCTGTTCCCGTTGCCTCTGGAAAAGCCACAAATGCAGAGCTGGGAGAGCTGGGAGAACCTCTTCCACTTTTCCTTTGCTTTGGTGGGACTGGCTTCTCACTCAGCCAACCTGGACAACACCCACTGTCCCTGGATTCCAATCCAAACCAGGGGCCTGGAAAAACACTTCTTCTCTGCCAAAATGCTCTTGCAGGAATAGCTTTCCTGAAATTCCGGATATGCTTACAAGCCTCAGCTTGGCACTGTGCTAAGAGCTATAAGCAGTTAGAGAATGAATTAAAACATGATACATGGTGTGGGAAATGAAACCCAACTTCATGTTCACTTTTTAGCTGAGTTACTCTAATAAGTGTTGCAAATGCAGGTGAATATCCCACAAATTAAAGGGAGAATGAAGCGTTTTCTAATTTTATCTGGAAAAACACATTAAGGATGGCAGCAGGTCAGCTGGTGCAGGATTAATCACTTCCCAACCCCTGGGGTTGGGCTTTTGGGGCACTTGAATGGCTGCCTACTTGATCAGGGAAAAGAAAGGGACTTTTAGGCATTCCAGGCATCTTGCCCAGCACAAACAAAAGGTGTCATTAACTGCCTCTGAGTTCCTAGGTTTTCCAACTTAGTTTTCCTTTCAAACTTTTATTGAAACGATTTTTTTTCTATTTTTCCTCACATAAAAGAATCCAAAAAAGATCTGAAATGTTTGTGCAGTGCAATTGCTCTTATTGTCTTTATGAAGTTTCAGCTAGTACAGGAAAATATTGACTTGTGATGCTGAGCTGGCCAACAGCATTTATTTCTTCCCAGGCAGCAGCCAAGAAAAAAAGCTTTCTGGCTCTTTCTATTCCGATTTTTTCCATCATTTTGTTGTTATGGATCTGAACTCCTGTTGACTCTTAGGCTTGTTTTTGCCAGGAAAGGAGGCACATCCTATTGACCAACTGAGCTCGTGGAGAGAGTGGTCAGGGACAAAGGAAAGATCTGGCCTGAATTGGGACTCTCAGATGGGTGCAAAGTGCTATGGAAGAGGAGATGCAGCCAACCTGCTGCTTTTATAGTGGTGTAAATCATGGATTTGGCATGGAATAAATATCTTCCAGCCCACCATGGTGCTGGTGTGAGCCATGTGCAAGGACACAGTGTGGTCACAGGGGCTGCTCGTGGGGACACTGGATGAGGGGAAGGAGGTGTGGGACTCCCACTCTGACCAACCTGACCTTCCTTACCTGCTACACTTTGTAAGTCCCCTGAGGAGCAACTGAGGGAGCTGGGGGGGCTCAGCCTGGAGAAAAGGAGGCTCAGGGGGGACCTTCTGGCTCTGCAACCCCTGACAGGAGGGGGGAGCCAGGGGGGGGTCGGGCTCTGCTCCCAGGGAACAAGGGACAGGAGGAGAGGGAACGGCCTCCAGCTGTGCCAGGGGAGGGTCAGGTTGGACATCAGGAGGAATTTCTCCATGGAAAGGGTGGTCAGGCACTGGAAGGGGCTGCCCAGGGAGGTGGTGGAGTCCCCACCCCTGGAGGTGTCCAAGGAAGGACTGGAGGTGGCTCTCAGTGCTCTGGGCTGGGGAACAAGGTGGGGATGGGGCACAGGGTGGACTCCATGGGCTGGGAGGGCTTTCCCAACCTGAATGATGGTGTGATCCTGTGATCATCCCTGAAACGGCAGGAGGGTGCTGGTGAGCTGGAAGTATGACCAAGGATGGGGGTGTAGATCACCCAGATTTTGGTGATTCGAGTCCCAGTTGTTCAGTGTCCTTAAAACCAGCTCTGTCTGTGCCCTGGTCACCTCAGGTGGGGCTGCAGGTGTGGGGTTGGATTTGCTGCTTCACTGTTTTGTGGTCACAGACCCCTGGAATGGTTTGGGTTGAAAGGCACCATAAAGACCATCCAGTCCCACCTCCTGCCAAGGGCAGGGACACCTTCCACTAGCCCAGGTTGCTCCAACCTGGCCTTGGACACTTCCAGGGATGGGGCAGCCACCTCCCTGTTGGGGTTGATGACTCTGCATGTGGATGCTCTTGCCATGACATACCTAATTTTGCTCCAATTTAGGCCATGCTGCTGCTCCTCTGGTTTCCTGACCTGCCTTTTGTTCAGAGGAGCAAAGTCACAGTGCTTCATTCCCTCTCTTCTTCCTCCTGCCTCTTGCATATCACAGAGCAGGACTGAGTCCACAGTGCTCACATTTTGTTCCTTAGAAAGAGTAAATCAAAATTAGGTCAGTGCTTTGGCCTCTGACTTTGTCTCCCTCAAGCCAACATGACTTAAGGGTTTTGTCACGTTGGATGAAATCACCTCTGAGTTAAACATCCTTTATTATCTCTGTTTTCAGGCTGACAGGGAGGAGATGTGTTGGAGTGGATTCCATTCTATGATTTTTGCTTGTTAGTGTGGCTCTTTTACAAACTCTAAGGGCTTGGCCGTGGTTTTGTCACCTTCAGCATTTGGCATTGCCTTCTAAGGGTGCCCCCAAAATCTTGTGAACTCTTCATTGCTTCAGAAAAATCCTGGGGTGACTGTTCAGAAAGGAGCATTGTTGGCTGGGTCATACCTGTGCCAGCACAGGTTTCATCAATTTTCTGCCTCTGGTGCAGCTCTTCCAAGTGGAACTTTCCCTGCAACGTGGCCAAGAGACAAGATTAAATCATTCCTTGGTCTGCTGAAGGCACAGAAGGATTCTGTAGGAATCCCTGTGGAGCGTGGCAGGAGCCAGGAGGCTGTAAAATCCATATTTCCCATGTCTGATATATATGATAGGACATATCTGAGATGTTGGGATCAACTGATTCCTGCAGCAGCGGTGAGGGGGGTTGGTTGTCTGAGCTGGGATTTTCTGGAAATAACCATTTCAAGATCTCTGTTTGAATGAAATCCATGTGTTAACAGATTTGACATGTTTGAAGTATGAGCTTCAAAAACAGTGGATACTTCAGAGTTTAATTTCAAACTGAATTGCCTTGGGTTTAACAGGTTTGTATTCATAACTTTCACACGGTCATGGAAGTCATAAAAGCCAACTTTTGAAGCAAATGTTACAATACTGGGTACAGGCAAATTGTTCTGTGTTGTTGTGTTCTATTTGCTGGTTTTCTCTTTTATTTTTAAGAGATGGGAGTCTCCCTGTGTGTGAAACAGAGCAAGGGACCTTCTTGTCCAGAGAATCAGAGTCATGGAATATCCTGAGTGGGAAGGGACCCACAAGGATCATCAATCCAACTCCTGGCCGTGAACATTTATAAAATGTAAAAATGTAAATATTAAAAAGATGGTAGCTGTTAGAGAGTGTCCAAAGGAGGGAATGAGGATGGGGAAGGGCCTTGATTTGAAGGTGCATGAGGACACTGAGGGCACTTGGTGTGTTCAGCTGGAGCAGAGGAGACTGAGGGGAGACCTCACTGCAGGTACAGCTTCCTGGGCAGGGGCAGAGGAGGGGCAGGGACTGAGCTCTGCTCTGGGGGGACCAGGGACAGCAGCCAGGGAATGGCTGGAGCTGTGTCAGGGCAGGCTCAGGTTGGATCTCAGCCAAAGGTTCTTCCCCCAGAGGCTGGTTGGGCACTGCCCAGGCTCCCCAGGGCAGTGGGCACAGCCCCAAGGCTGCCAGAGCTCAGGGAGGGTTTGGCTGATCCTCTGGGGCACAGGGGGTGACTCTTGGGGCTGGGCCTGTGCAGGGCTGAGGGTTGGACTCCCTGATCCTTGGGGGTCCCTCCCAGCTCAGCACATCCTGGGATTCTGAGATTCTGTGAATGCCCGGCATTGCTCAAAGATGATTCCATAAAACAAGCCTTACACCAGCTAAAAATGCTGAAATTTAGGAATCTGCTGCCAAAAAGACTGACCCACCATAACTTATTGTTCCTCTGTTTCCCTCCTGTTCACAGCTGTAATAAATTCAGAGGGTAAATTGAAAGTCCAGCATTTCTTCCTGCCTGATGATATTCCAGGCAGTTTAACATCCCACCCAGCTCTGGGCTTGCATTTCATTCCAGGGACATCATGAATTTTCCCGTCTTTGCTGCAGAGCAGGGCTCAAAGCTGGAAAATGACTTTTCTGCAAAGTGAATGTTGTCAGTTTGAGCCTCCTGATCAGGAAAAAAGGTCCATTTCCATGTCCCTTATGAGCCTTTTGTAGGGAATTTGCCCATCTGGCTGTGATTCTTTCCAGTCTCCTGGGTGTGAGCAGGCACACAGTCTCCTGCAGCACAGATTGGGGCTTTAAATAAGCAAAAAGCAAAATTTTTTTCCTTTTTTTTTTTTTCCTCCTTAATTCCTCCCATCTTTACTTATTTTCTGCAGCAAATGTAAGATTTCCCCTATTTCCAGTGCATTGGAAAGGTCAGTCCTTTGCACAAAACCAGCACTTGCATTTTGGCTCAGTCTCCAGATGTTTCCAGGCTCCTTCTGTAATTTTGAGCAACTATTTTGTACCTTGGTTCCCCAGCTTTAAAATGGGAACAAGAAGCCTTTTGCTGTGCCCTTTTTATGCAGCAGAGAATATATTTGGACACAGAGCCCAACAAATCCAGCTCCCAATTAGTTGCCACTGATTGCAAGAATAAAGAGCACGTGTTACTTCCTGTGGCACGATCAGATGGTTGTGGAATCATGGAATAACCTGAGCTGGAAGGCACCCCCAAGGAGCATTGTGATGCTCTGCAAGGTTGTTGTAACACCATGTAATTGTGACAGGTTCATTAGCATTCCAGATGCTGCCAGTGTGGAGGATCTGCTGAGCTTCCCACCCCTCCATGCTGGCTGGAGGCCACGGTGGGTGGTGGTTGTGCTCTTGCCAAGGTTGGAGCTGCTCCTCCTGCCAAAGACTTCCTCCTCCTTTCACTCTGCAAATCAAGCCTTCCTGAAAAATACCTCCCCTTGAGCCTTTGGTGGCACCTGCAACAGCAAAGGGCCATCAAGGGCACGTTGGGGAGACCTTGGGTTGATCGGTGCCGTGTCCTGCTGGGGACAGCCTGGGACAGTCCCTGCCAAGGGGCTGGCAGGGCCTACACAATAAACATGGTGAGTTTATAATAAAAATGAGCAGCATATAATTCACAAAGAGCTTGGATATACATTCCTGAGGCTGAGCTTTGAGGCAGGTTGAGAATGAGGATCTTTTGGAGTGCTCAGTAGCCAGGACTGCACCAAAAGCCACCATGGCCCAGCACAGCCATGGCTGTGCAGTGGTGGGAGCCTCTGACGTGGCTGTATTTTGGCCTGGTTGTCATCTACTTTAAATATTAAATAAAATTAAACTGTTATCAGACTGATATTAAAGGAAATCATGCAGTCATGGAATCATTAAAGTTGGAAAAGCCCTCCAAGATCAGCCTTCAACCACTGAGTGACAGCAGCCAGGGAATGGCTGGAGCTGTGTCAGGGCAGGCTCAGGTTGGATCTCAGGCAAAGGTTCTTCCCCCAGAGGCTGGTTGGGCACTGCCCAGGCTCCCCAGGACAGTGGGCACAGCACCAAGGCTGCCAGAGCTCAGGGAGGGTTTGGCTGATCCTCTGGGGCACAGGGGGTGACTCTTGGGGCTGGGCCTGTGCAGGGCTGAGGGTTGGACTCCAGGATCCTTGGGGGTCCCTTCCAGCTCAGCACATCCTGGGATTCTGTGAACCATGTCGTGAATTGCCTTCTCTACTCATTTTTTGAACAAGACCAGTTTTAAAAGAGACAAAACAAGCCTGAGCTGCTGTTCAAGCTGCCATCAGCTGGGAAGCCTTTGCAGGCAAGAAGCAAGATAAAAAACTGAAACCCATGAAGACCAAACCATGAAAATTTTGTCAGTGACTTTAATTTGCAGGGTGCTGGAGCCCTCCTGCACAGCAGCCCTGGGAGCCCGTTTGCTGAACGAGGCAGCACCACGGTGCTTATCCATGGGCTTCCAGTTAATATGAGCAATAACTCACCCTGGACTAATTAAGCAGCTCAATTTGTAAAAGAGGCATAAGGGAGTTGGATCCAGGGCGTTTGCTTGAGGAGCACAGTGCAGTGTTTGGGTTTGGGCAGCCGAGCATTGTGGATCCTGCTGTGTCCTTGACACGGCAGCAAATCCAGAGGGTGTGGAGGCAGCGGGGTGTTTGGGGTGGTACCTGTCCCTGTCACCCCCTGTCCAAGCACAATCAACTGTTAACTAACCCAGGGTACCTTTGAGGGCAAGAGGAAATGCTTCTCTTCAAGGTGACACCATACCTGGAGACTGCCAGCTCTGAGCACCCAAATTCCCGATGTCGGTCACCCACCTTCCAGCTTCTAGTGGAAGGTGTCCCTGCCTGTGTCAGGGGCATTGGGATGAGATGAGCTTTAGGGCCTGATGTGAACAGCTCCTCTCTTAAGAACCTTTAGTAATCCTAAAACTTTGTCTAAGTGAGCTGGGCTTGGGTTGCCTGGCTTTGAATGGATCTCAGAGGGGCCGAGCTCACAGAGTCACAGAATCCCAGGATGTGCTGAGCTGGGAGGGACCCCCAAGGATCCTGGAGTCCAACCCTCAGCCCTGCACAGGCCCAGCCCCAAGAGTCCCACCCTGTGCCCCACAGGATCATCCAAATGCTTCTTACCACAATTCAACATGGTTTTTCCATATAAAAACTGTCAAAGGGATGGAATTGGTCATGAGTTGTCTAAGTCTTACTCAAAGTCCTCACTGAAAGATAGAAGAAACCCTTGGAGAACGTTGGGATGGTTTATAAAAAACCCTTCCAGTTGCTTTAAGCTGTTCATTTGATGATGTGTGAGGATGGAAAGGCAGGGGAGAGCCCTGTGTGGAACCAGCCAAGAAGAAGGGAAAGATGGAATGAGAGCACACTGATGGCTGGGACAGAGGGAAACGTGGCAGCACCACACTGGGGTGAACAGGAGAGGCTCTTGGGAACTACTAAACCTGATTAAAGCAGACTTTTTTGGCTCAGAGGGAACTTAGCAAAGATTTTAAAGCTGTCCTAATACCTGCTGAGAAAGCCCAGCCCCAGTGGTGTGTTTATTTACCCAAATTGTTGTGGCTGTTCCTGTCAGAGCAGCAGTGACGTGGCTGCTGTGCAGTCTCTCACATGCCTTACGTGGGTGTCCTCCTGCAAATCTCATCTTGTTTACTTGCCTTTCCTGGAAAATTAAGAAGAAGTGTGGCCACAAAATGAATTTCAAAGTTAGCAAGTAGGAAAGTAAAGCTGTCCTTCCCAGGGAAGACATCTGGAATGACTGGCAGTTGTGAGTGTGTACCTGCACTGCCTATGGAAAATATTTTGACAGCTCAAACTGGAAGCAGACTTAGGAGTTTGGATTTTTTTTTGAAAGAACTGTGGTGTGGAACACAGCTTTGATGCCTTAATGGAATCTAGAGAGCTCAATAATATGTTTCAGGTTTGGATAAAAGAGAGGAAAATTGCTTCTAGCACTTTTATGCTCAAGAAAAACAAAGCCCAAATCATCTCTCTGTGATGTCTAATCTATATTATTTTATCAGTGTGATATCTAAGGGTAGCCTTGGTAGAGCTCGCTGAGACTTCTCAGCTCAGAGAGGAGATCCAGGAAGTCTGCACCATACTCTGAGTTACTTTATATTGACCTTCCTTTAAAATAAAGAACAAAAATTACAGGGAGGTCCAGTTGGGTGGATTGATTTTCCTGGGTGGATGGGTTGATTTTCTTGGTGGATGGCTTGATTTTCAAGGATCATGTGCCCATGGGTCACTGCAACATGCAGGAAGTCAAGGAAAGGTGGCAGGAGGTTTGTGTGGATGAACAAGGAGCTCCTGACAAAACCCACACGTAAAAAAACATTGCAAGGGTGAAAGCAGTCAGATCACCCAGAGGGAATCCAGACATTATCCAAGTGTGCAGGGGTGGGATTGGGAAAGCCAAAGCCTACCTGGAGTTAAATCTGGTGACAGATGTGGAGGGCAACACCAAAAGCTTCTCTGGGTTGATCTATGGTGGAGGGAGAGCAGGGACAGTGTGGGTCTGGTGCTGGAAGGGGCAGGGCAATGGGAGAAGGGTGAGGGCCTCAATGCCACCTTCATCTTGGTCAGACTGGCCCTGAAGAACCCCAGGTCCCCAGGGCCAGAGGGAAAGTCTGGAGCACGGATGACTTGGAGAAGTTGTGTTGACTCTGGAGTAAAGAAGACTTGGAGGAGGATTGTGCTGGGGAATAAATAAACAAACTGGCCATACTCAAATCCAGGGGGCCCGAGGGATGCTGAGGGAGCTGTCTGATGGCACTGAGAGGCCACTCAGTTGTCTTTGGTGCTTGGGAAAGGTGCTTGAGGACTGGAAGAGGGCAAATGTCACCCCCACCTTCCAGAAGGACAGGAAAGAGGGTCCAGGGAATTAAAGGCCAGTCAGCCTCAACTCCATCCCTGGGAAGGTGATGGAGCAACTAATCCTGAAAGCCTTTTCCAAGCATTGGGAGGACAAAAAAGGCGATTAGGAATAGTCCACAAGGGGAAATCAAAGGTGACCAACCTCTGTGATGAGGTGTCGGGCTCAGCGGAGGGGGGACAGCAGGAGATGTTTGTCCTGACATTGCAAAGGTTTGGACTCTGTCTCTCATGACTCCCCCATGGACACAGGGATGAGGTACAGACTGGAGAAGTGCTGGGCTCAGTTGTGATCAGGGCCACTGGTCCATCTAGAGCTGGGAGTTATATATTGTCACAACACAGATGTGTTTGTTCCAGCTTTCTGAGGGCAGACACATGGAGTTGCACAGGGAGGTCAGCACAATCCTCACCCTGGCTCTGTCTCATCCGTGGTCCATCCCTGCTCAGCAGCAACCTTGACTGAAGGTTGGAGAAGTCCAGAGGAGGCCACAAAGTTGATGAGAGGACTGGAGCAGTTCCTCTCTGGAGACAGGCTGAGGAAGTTGGGGCTGTCCAGCCTGGAGAAGAGACAGTTGTGTGGAGACCTCACAGCTCCTTCCAGGGTCTGAAGGGGGCTACAAGGAAGCTGGAGAGGGACTGTTCACCAGGAACTGGAGAGACAGGACAAGAGGGAAAGGGTTCAAACCAAGACAGGTTATGTGTAGATTGGATATTGGGAAGGAATTCTTCCCTGTGAGGGTGGGAAGGCCCTGGCACAGATTGCCCAGAGAAGCTTTCCCATCCCTGGAAGTGTCCAAGGCCAGGTTGGAGCAACCTGGGCTAGTGGAAGGTGTCCCTGCCCACGGCAGGGGGATTGGAATGAGATGAGCTTTAAGTTCCCTTCCAAGCCAACCCATTCTGGGATGCCATAAGGTCCTTCAGGACAGACAGACAGCCCTGCCCAGCTCAGGGGGACCGAGCTGTGACAGTAAAGGCTCAGCCCAGCCTGGCTGGGCAGTGGCAAGCGAGCTGAGATTTAATCTTCGAATCCCCAATTTGCTGCCGATTCCATCCCCGGTGACTCCCAGCAGGAGCCCTGTTAACTGGGGCTGTACAGCTGAAACCCAGCAACAGGGGTTAATTGGTCCCTTTCATCTCCCTTCCTGTGTTGCTTCTCAGCAACAGCTTTGTAGGTTTTTGCTTCTTTTTTAGCATTTTCCCCACCTCTTTATCTCCTTTTTTTTTCTTTCTGTCCTTATCCTTCTCCTGGAGACA